GTGATTACTTCTGAAAAGATCGTGCATCGATGGCTTGAATCTTGATTGTGCAGTAATGTAAACGACGATTACCAGCATTTCTGTCAGAATAATATATAACTCTATATATTGTTTTGTAACTGCCTGTAGTGTAGAATACTGTATTCATATAACTTTCTGTTTGGTGGTGCACCTTTCTTCATTCTTGCCTATTTATACTACTCGCTCTATAGTGAACCCCCCTTTTTGGCTTGCACTTTTCTCTCGTCACTCTCGCCTAGGTCAAACCCTAGGCCTCGACTTCTATTCTTGATATGGTATCAGAGCACGTCACATCCTGGCCTGCCTTATTTTTTAACTACGCCATGGGCCCACCGCGTATTCCTCGTTTCGTGGCTCCCGTCGCGCCCTTAGTTGCGACTGACGTGATGGGCGCGACGGCGAGCTGCCTATTATCGTGGCGACGAGTTGGGCGGCTGGTTCTGCCCTGTTGCTCCGTCGCCCTGTCACCCGCCCCGCGCTACCCGCCTTGTCCCGAGCTGCCCCGCCCCTCGTCCCGTTACGAGCTGCCACAGCCACGCGCAGCCGCGCGCAGCTGCGTACGGCCGATTGCAGCTGCGCACAGCCGCGCGCAGCCGCGTATGGCCGCTCCCCTGCCCCGCACCTGCTGCTCATGCTCCAGTGAAAGGCGGGGGGAAGGGTGTGGGGTTGGCGCGTGGGTGACACTGCACCTGCCGTCGCTGTTCACCTTTTCCTCCCTCTCACTGCACCCGTGGGGGGAGGGGGAGTGTGAGAGGGTGGCAAGAGAGATTCTGCAATGTCAGCAGCCGCCCCTCCTCTCTCTCTCACTACCGCTCGTGCTGCTGTGGGGGGGAGGGTGAGAGAGGGTGGCGGAAGACAGCCGGGTATTTGCTGCTGTCGCCTGTTGCTATCGTAGCACCTCCAGCTGCCGCCCCTGCTACCACCTGCCTTTGCTACCTTTGTTTTTGCTACCTGCTGCTGGGGCGTGCAGGTGCTGCCGTCGAGCCGCTGCTATCCTGCTGCATGTTGCAGCCACAGAGCCTGCTCCTCAGGCGACCTGCCGCCCCAACACCTGCTACTGTTTCTACCTTGGTCAAGGGGTTGGTACAGTTGGATCTGCCATCACTGCACCGGTTGCCACTGCACTTGCCTGTTGCTGTGATTTCCGCTGCGGCCTATCTGGTGTACCCCATTATGGGGGCGTTGACTGCACATTCTTCCCTACAGGCACTTATGGGGGCGTGTCAGAATAATATATAACTCTATATATTGTTTTGAAACTGCTTGTAGTGTAGAATACTGTATTCATATAACTTTCTGTTTGGTGGTGCACCTTTCTTCATTCTTGCCTATTTGTACTGCTCGTTCTATAGTGAACCCCCCTTTTTGGCTTGCACTTTTCTCTCGTCACTCTCGCCTAGGTCAAACCCTAGGCCTCGACTTCTATTCTTGATCATTTCCGCCAATCCTAATCACCGGCAATGTGCATCCTATCATGAAGAGCGACCTGGAAATGTCTATCATGATCATGAGCAACTGTCGTTAGGAGCACCGATGTCAATCTTGAACATCAGCAATGTCTAGAATGGCTGAGATTCACCAACGATTATCATGATCATGCAGCAGTGTGAGCATGATGCTCAGCGATTCCTATTAGCATTTCCAGCAACGTCTAGCAAGACCATCAGCAGTACCAACCTGGATCAGTAGTGTTGGATCGTGTTCAGGCAGCAGCCGCCTCCGGACTCAACATGCAGCGATTCTGATCTCAAACCTCATTCCTGATCAGGAATGGTTTAGGGCTCGAGCTCTCACATTTCGCATGTCGCGTCATTAATACATCGCTAACGTTGGAATTGCTTGTCTCTCCCTCGCTCTGCTACATGGTCCCTTACAGCGACAGCAGAGCAAAGTCACTGACAACATCTTCACCGACTGTGATCATCTTGGGCATTTCAAGGAGATCGCTAATGTGGTGCGCTCTTTGTGCATTTCATCTACATTTGTTTCCGCATCCAAGACAAGTGCTGTTAAAGTAGAGATGTAAACGTCGTATGAAAGTTGTGTCACTGGTTGATTCAGGAAATGGATAGGATCGAGACTATGCCAGGATCAGAAATTGCTATACTGCGTACGACCTACCACAACGACATGACCAAGCTTGATGTCAATAATGATGACAGCTTCTCTGAGGAGATCATTATACTTTTGAAAAACAAGGGGATCAATCTCAGCGATGAATCTTTCTACGTCCCTCAGGTGTGGTGTTTCTGTAGTAGGTTCGTGTATTATTGGCCGACAACAATAATTTACAAGTAATTCAAGTTGGAAGTTACAACTGGCTTTTAACAAGTGTTGAGGATTTCAGGGGGAGTTGAGGCGGGTTGCAACAATGACACCAAAGGCTCAGCGGCCTCATGAGGAGGGATTGTTGGAGTACCTTGATAAGGCTGTTGGAACGAACAAGTACATCGAGCAGATCAAGAAAAGAGCCCAGCGATAATGCATTCTCGTATATGCATGCACGGGTAGTGCAAGATTCGCATTCATTCTTCATCATTTGATTGTGCTGCGCTTGTTTCTCGAGTAAGTAAGTACCTCTAGCCCGCAGAACTGAAAACCCTTAATCCTATCATCATCAGGTTCTCCCTGTGGCTGAATGCCTTCGTTCCTTATTGCTCTGTCTCTTAGAGCATTTGACTTAAACTCGTACTGCTGAGTGCTGTCGTCCAAGCAATAGATAGACAGCTTAAATGCTGGGTTCTTGGTTGTGCTGTGCCTATCCGCTCTTCTGGCCTGCTTGTCTGCCATAATCCTTGTTTCCTACCTCCTTGTCTGCCTGCCTTTCTGCTTGTCTGGTTGTGAGCAGGCTTGAGGATCAGAATGAGAGAAGGGTGGGCTTCATGGAAAAAATGCGACTAGCGGAGAGGGAAAAGGTCCAGCTAGAGGTGAGTGCATAGATAGAGAAAGCATTCGAGGAATAGAGATTGCACTATGCGAGCAGCATAGAGCTTGCAATGCAGGAGAAAGAAACCCAGAGCAAGCACTACAGGAGAAGGAGAGAGCATTCACAATAGGAGAAACACATAACATACACTGTAGGAGAACCACGACAGAGAACACACTCCTCTCCCCCACTTCGCATGAGCAATTTAAGTAATTCCTTCCTTTAGTACAGGCAATGAGGAGAGTGGTGGCAAGTGTTTCCTGCTGAAGTAGGCACAGCGAATTCAGCTGAGCATGATAGGGATGTATGGTCTTCTTGTCATCCACTCCCAATCCTCAGTCAACCCCTTTGCTTACATGCCCTCAACTCCAGGAGCAAAAAAAAGCGGCTGAATTGGTTCTGCTGAAGGAGGCGCAGCACACCCAGCTGACCATGGAAGGGCTGTATTTGTGGATGCAGGAAGTTGATTGCAAGAGGAAAGAAGACGACAGGCAGGCCACATGCCTTGAGAGGGTGGTTAAGACAGAAAGGTGAGATTGGGAGTTGTTGTGGGGTAGAGGGTTTTTGGGGGTGATTGGTTGGGACTCGGACGTGAGTTGCCATGTACGTAATGTTGCAGGGGAGGGACCGCCTGAGGGAGGTTAGCAGCAAGATTGAAAAACTCAAGGTTAGGAGTGCTTGCAACAGAGAGGCGTGGCATGGAGGTTGAGTTGTGTAGGAGGAGGATTGGGTGGGAGAGGTAGAAGGCAGGACAATAGGAACAGGCTGGGGTTGGTGGGTGGCGGTTGGGAAGGAAACAATGGGGCTGGAGAAGGGTGAGGGTTGGGTAAACTGGGGAACGAGGCGAGTGAAGGAGGTTGGTGATGGGCGATGAGAGGGTGTGGGGCTAGGAGAGGGAAGGTTCAAAGAAGAAAGCATCTTGATATGTTTTTGACGCGGTGCAACTCTTGACGCCTCATCACACAGGACTTCATGACCCTAGCTAGCGGGGAGTGGTAGGCAGGTGAATCTCATAGCTTCTGTACTTGACCTGTATTCATCCCGTGCTTGGTGAAAAATGTTTGAAGAATGGAAAGAGGCCGTATCAGATCATGGGAGCCTGAGAAAGGAAAACCTTCTTGTCCTGTATTCAACGTTGAGAGCCTGAGCCTGCTGACTGTAGCACCGTTAAATGCAGGAATACGCTGTCTTTACTTTTTGAAAAGATGAAGTGCAAAACAGACTCGTATGTGAAATGTGCAGAGGAGCTTAATGTGAGTAAATAGTTGGCTCATAGAAGAAACCTTTTGGACCTGACTTCCCTTCGCTTCGCTTTGTCTGGCTTGGCCCTAGGATTCCCTTTGTGTGTGTTGCTAACGTTGCAAGCTTCCTTAGCAGGCCCTCGTTGCAGAGGTGAAGGCTGCCACTGATGAGCGAAATGTACTGCTGAAGAAAGGGCCTGCATGCAAGACAGGCAAGGTGGGTGACTGAACCCTGAGGATGGAAAATATGAGTGGGATGGAAAGGTCTGGATGTTATGCATCTTGCTGAGAATGAGTCGATAATCTGAGAGTGTTTCTGGAACTAACGACGCGTTTTTAACATATTCACCTACCATCCACTCAGACGCCACCTACCCACATGGCACCCACGACCTTTCTTGTCCTCATTGCGCCTGCAGGAGAAAAGGGCCAAGAAAAACAGGAGCCTGAGCAATCTGAGCGCAGACACGAGCAGCGTGGAAAGGTGTCAGAATCCCAACCACTAGACCATTGGGATAAAAGGGCTTGTTAAGTAGCGGGTCAGTGCGCCCATAACCCCCCAGGCCAACGTGCCTGTAACCCTTCCCTAGGATCAATCGGGGATCACCAGTGGACCTCTGACAAAAGAATGCTGGAAAACTGGGAAAGATTGGTTAAGGTGTGTGTCTGAGGGAGAATGGGCTGGGGGGGGGGGGGGGGGGGGGGGGGGGGCGGGGAGAGGGGGGGGTGAGGGACGTGTACACGGTTGTAAGGTGGTTTATTACATTCAACATCAGCCGTTAAGCCTAGATTGAAACGAGAGAAGCAAGGATATGTTTGCGAGGTTGCCGCGCAAGCTCACACCTTGTTCCTGCCTACCTGCTATGTCTTGTAGATCTCCCTCCACAGCCACGGAAGTGGTTTGCCCACCGAGTTGACTTGAATTTCACCGCCTTATCCAACTCCCCCGATCCCCCTATCCCCCTATATTGGCTGCGCCTCCGCTGGCAGGTAGCGGAGCACAAGCAGGAGGAGTGCAAGGACAAGCGGAGGGAGGCAGGTGCTGCTGAGAGACAGTACGACAAAATCGACTTTAGATCGGTGAGATGCGACAGGAGAGGTGAGATGAGTGCAGGGAGGGTGAGATGGACACAGGGGCGGCGAGATAGCTAGAAGGAGAGAAGAGAAGGCCCAACCCAGGAGATGACCTCAACGAGGGATATAGGTAAGCGGGTGGATTCGAGCAGAGCCGAATGTGGATCGTCTTTATGAATTGGGCTCTCTTTCTTTTCCTGCCATTCAAACTGGACTCACACACCCGCTCCGTTATGCACTACGCTCATCTTTCTTCCTTGCCATTCCACTGAAAATGCCTATATTCCCACTTCTCCGCTTTGTTCTCTCTGACTTCACGCCTTCCAATCCTTACTTTGGACGCCACACAGTCAGAAGATCACACGTTCGCAGCTTGAGGAAATCAAGTGCCGCCAACAAGCAACTGCAAGCCCTTCAAGAAGGGCAAGGGAATTTTTCACGCATTTGGGGGTGCAAATCGCACGTCAGATCTCACAGTGAGTGCATAATCGCCAACTCTCTGCCCTCTGCTTGTTACTCTTGAGCTTTTTTGCTATTGATCCTCTCGAACTACTGAACGCTAACATCTCTCATGCAATGTGTGTGAATTGAACATGGAAAAGACAAGCCTTTCCCCCATACACACGTGTATTAAGGTGTGCATATCCTTCATTTCCTCCCCCCCCCCCCCCCCCGAAATCTCTTTTTGCAGCATGCAAGAGAAGCGCGTGTCAGACGAGGACATTCAAGAGGCAGGCCTTCCCCACACTTTCACCACCGAAGCTGTGGGCAAGTGGCTAGAAGCAGCAGATAGGGAGAGGGCTGTTATTGAAGAAGGCGCCAAGGCTGGGGCTGCAGATGGGAGCGAGTCGGCAGAGGGGAGTGAGGCTGCAGCGCAATGCCAAGGAGTGGAGGCTACGGCAGAGACATATAAACAGGAGACGCGAGGGCTGGAGAGCCTGGTAACCTGGCTGTGCTGTAATCGCGTGAGCGTAGGAGCTACCGACGATGAGATGTTGTCAAAGCTGGACTCTTCGGGAGAAGAGCTCAAAACTCTTACGGAAAACATTGACGTGAGCTGCATTGACGAGTGAGTGAGAGTGCCTCGCGGTGTGAATTTGCGGGTGGTGTAACTGTGAATGTGAGCAAACGAGTGAGTGTGGGTGTACTGGGTTCAGTGTGCTGGGTGCGATGCAGTCTGCTGGGACATGACTACCTGACTACTGGGACATGACTACCTGACTGCTGGGACATGACTACCTGACTGCTGAGACATGACTACCTGACTGCTGGGACATGACTACCTGACTACTGGGACATGACTACCTGACTGCTGGGACATGATTACGTGACTGCTAGGACATGACTACCTGACTGCTGGGACATGACTACCTGACTGCTGGGACATGACTACCTGACTGCTGGGACATGACTACCTGACTGCTGGGACATGACTACCTGATTGCTGGGACATGACTACCTGACTGCTGGGACATGACTACCTGACTGCTGGGACATGACTACCTGACTGCTAGGACATGACTACCTGACTGCTAGGTATACATGGGCAAACGAGTCGAGCTTTTACTCGCCTCGTTCGAGGGACTCGAAAAGCTCGAGTTTCGAGTTTGTTTTTTTGTTGGAAAAACTCGGACGCCCGTGTCGAGTTTTACTCGCGAGTAAAAAAAAGCTCGCGGATAACTCGGTTTTTTCACGAGTTTTTTTACTACTCGCGAGTTTTTTAGACTCGCGAGTTTTTCCTATCCAGTTTCGAGCTTAAAAAAACTCGCGCGTCACCTGGGTCGGATACAAATGTAAAAAAATGCTCATTTTTCAGATCTGGTTTCCAAGATCTAAAAGGAACCACCATTTCGTAGGGTAGTTTCTAGGTGTTCTACCACACCTAGGAACGTCCGCTCAGCCTACGTGTTCTTCTTAAAAAAAATCGTGTTTTTCTAGGGTTTCAGTCAGGTGGAAGGCTAATGACACCCGCAAGCATTATAACACACTTCAATTTCGGACCCATACGTCTTCTCCCCTTGAATTAGACTAAGTTAAGGTGAAAACAGCTAATTTGCACGGTTGGTTTTGGAGTGACTGCGTGGAATAGCATGGTGCGTGGTAGATCGGGTGCAGGGAGAGGAGGGAGAGTACATGGCGGAGGCGGTAGGGGGGCAGGACGAGGCGGTGAGGGTGTCAATGGAGATGACATCGAGCTCCACGCCCTCCCCAGATCGGAGCAACGCCGTTATCAAGCCATTGTAACAGCTGCAGACGCTGCAAAGGTGTTGCAAGCGTCCGCCAAGGGTGGTGGGCGGGGTAGAGACATGGCTTCAGGGGGTTCATCCGCCGCAGGTACATCTGCAGGGGCCGAGCAAGGGGCGATAGGGGACGTTGCTGTCCCCATGGTGGCGGGGTCTGCCATGGCTGGAATGGGGGTTGATGGGGCACGGCAGGCGGATGATAACCACAAGGGTGGGGGGGTTGGGGGCGGCGGACCCATGCCTCGGGAGGAGGTGGAGGCGGGGAAGGCGGAGGGATTGCGGAAGGCGCGGGGGGAGGCAGCAGGGGGGGTTGTAACAGAATGGTTTAGCAATGCATTCATGGAAGAGTTGTCCGACCAAGTCATGAGGGAGAGTGAGGGTGGGAATGATATTTATATAAAGGGGGGAGGGGAGGAGCATGTGGATGAGGCAGATGAGGAGGAGGAGGAGGAGGAGGAGGAGGAGGAGGAGGAGGAGGAGGAGGAGGAGGAGGAGGAGGAGGAGGAGGAGGAGGAGGAGGAGGAGGATAAGAAGGTGATAAACTCAGAGGAAGAGATGTACAATGCTGAGGATGATGAGGTTGAGGAGGATAGGGAAGAGGACTTCGCTGGATTGGAAAATGAGGAAGAGGGGGCCACAAAAACACTACGAGGTCTACAACAAGCTACAAAGGCGGATGCGAAGGGGAAACGTGCTATGGCCGACCAGGAACCTTCTAAGAAGCGTGGTCGCGGATTGAGGCGGGGTCGCGGTGGGGGAAAGGTTGGAAGAGCGGGTGGGAGAGCGCGTGGAGGAGGGGGACGCGCTGCCAACTTTGAGCTCAAGCAGTACACGCTTGCGTTCATTGCTTTGCCATCAAAACACACGGCGAATAAGATCGCTGAGCGGATTGAGGCAGTGTTGGTGGAATGGGAGCTGGAAGAGAGGACCATGGTGTAGACAACGGACAACCCCAGCTCGAACGTGGCGGCGATGGAGATCCTTACGCGCGAGGGCCCGGCGGAGATGCCCCGCTTGTTCAAGACCGGGATGCACATCCGGTATGACCCTTGCATCCGCTTGTGTTCATGCCTGCTCCCTCGTTCACCTGTTAGTGTAGACCCGGCACAAACAACACCGTACATATGAGATACTCCCAACCAAAACCAGAACCACACCTCATCACCCAACAGGTGCCTTGCCCACGTTTTGAACTTGGCCATTCAGTTGGCTTTGAAAAACGTGGATGAAATCAAGTTGCCACTCACCATGCTCCGCGAGATGGCGTCCTACATCGGCTATTCGCCACAAAGGACGACCCTCTTCAAGGCGGAGCAGGAGGTTTGGCGACCACGGAAGCAGTACATGCGCCTGCGGCAAGACAATGAAGTGCGCTGGGGTTCCACCCTGCAGATGATCTTGCGCGGGCTGGACCTGCGCGATCCAATTGAGTCCTACATTCGGCACACAGTTGTGAGCATACCCTCGCCCACCTGCCTTGCTAATTCAGCCGTGGGACGTGGGCTGGACTCTGATTTTTGGCCAACACAGTAGTACCCGCCCCCCAATCCTTGCCTCCCACTTGTACCCGCCCCCCAATCCTTGCCTCCCCCTTGTACCCGCCCCACTCGCCTTCACAAGCCAATGCTCCAGTTGATGCGCCACCGCTGCGCCTCATGGCGCTGCGCATTTCTGTTGAGCAGTGGGACGCACTTGAGGAACTTGCAAAGTTCCTCATGCCCTTCAACGCTGTGACTTTGGCAACGGAGGGGTCCCTGTACCCGACTGCGAGTCGGGTGGTGCTGCAGTACAACGAGCTTATGGATTCGCTCGAGAAGATCAGGGACAGCACCACCTCCCCTCCCTCCGTGATCATGCGGAAGTGCATCGACGCTTCCTTGGGCAAGCTGCAGGAGTATTACTACAGCAGCAGTGATGAGCTGTGTGTCGCTACCTTCTTGGACCCGGCATTCAAGCTCGGATACTTTGAGCTTGAGGACGGGAGCAGCAACATGGGCAGGGCGGTATCTCACGTGCCCTCGGAGGAGGTAGTGGCTCTTGTGCGTGCGAAGTCGCAGCCATACAAGGAGAAGGTGCGGCGCGAGCGAGAGGCGGCTACTGGGAAGGGAAGAGGGGAGCTGATGGTGGTGGGCTTGGGCGGGACTAGCAGCACAGCAGCTGGGGGGAGTGGCAGCTGCAGCGGGACGACTTGGGGGGGCCTGAACCTGTTTGGGGGCCAGAATCATGATTCGGGAGGACTCGTGGCACGCCTGGCGGCGTTGCGTGCGAAGCAGGCAGCAGAGAACAAGGATGAAATCCAGATTTACCTTGAGGAGCCCATGCAGCCCCTATCCACAAACCCCCTTGCATACTGGCGTCGTAGGGGTGATTTGGAGGGGCTGGAGGCTATGGCAAAGGACTACTTGGCCATTCCAGCCACCTCTGCTGCCAGTGAGAGGCTCTTCTCACAAGGTAGGAACCTCATCACATGGCAACGGCACAGGTTGGGTGCTGAACGCGTGGAGGCATGCATGACCTTGAAGTTATGGATCGCTTCGTACCCGGGCACCCCATTGGGAAAGGCCGCCAAGGTGGCCATGGTGGATGACAAAGTGGGAGTGGACCTGGATGAGGAGTTTTGAGCGAAGGGCCCCATTTTTGCATGTTCAGATCAGGATAGTAGACATCTTTATTTATTAGACTAGCTATTCTCTAAATTAATCTCCCCCTCTGACGCTCACCAGGGCGCTAGACCTGGCCTTCTCAATATGCTTGGTACATTGCTGCTGGTTTGTAACCGTTGTCCAGGTTTCAGCAGGTGCTTGAATGCGTGGCTTTTATCTGCGGGAGTGGGCTGCTGGAGGTGTTTCCCCAAACCTCTTGTCAGGACACTATTGCAGCAGGCGTTGTGCAGCACGGTTGGGGTGTGAAAGTGTGGGGGTGATGTAGGGCTGGAATGCTGGTGGGTGTTGGGTTGAGGGATGTCGACCTCAAAATTGTAGTTGCTTTGTTGAGTGGGCGTAGATGGACCTTATTTATGTGCACCCTCTGGCTGGTGCTGTGTGGCTAAAGTGGTGGCTGTGGGTGCTGGTTAAGTTCGAGTCGAGTTTTACTTGACTCGAACGAGCTTTTTCAAAACTTGTACGAGCTTTTGAAAAACTCGATATTATGGGCGATTTTCGAGTTTGATTTTTGGCCAAAAAAACTCGACAATTAAAACTCGACTCGACTCGAGTGCAACAAAAAACTCGCCAAAACGAGTCAAGTTTTACTCGACTCGCCACTTGCCCATATATACTGCTGGGACATTACTACCTGACTGCTGGGACATGACTACCTGACTGCTGGGACAGTTAGCTTTAACTTCAGTCAGGAGGCACAACGTATCAGCAATCATCCTATTTTTCTGTTCTGCACTTGCTCAGGTACCATAAACAAGATGACGCATTTTTCGAGGCGTTCTTTGAAGCAACAGAAGTGACACCAGAGAGGGATGCTGTGAAGCAGGAGCACAGGGCTCTGATAAGGCGTCGGCAGGCAGAGTTTACAGCAGGCCTTGATGCAATCAGGGTGCGGGTGAAGGAGATCTACCAGATCATGGTGCCAGGTGGCGATGCTGACCTGGCATCCGTTGACTCGCTTGACCCGTTCAGCCAGGGAATATGTTTCTCTGTGTGCCCACCATAGCAGCAGTGCTGGAGGAACGTTGCCGACCTGAAAGGGGGAGAGCAGGTGAGAGCAGCCTTTTTGCCCCATGGCTCTGCCAGACCATCTCTTTCCACCCACAGTGGAGTGTGAATGTCACTGCTGCTCCTGCGCCTGTTAGTGGCTCTGTGCTGCACTGGTCATCCTACGAGGGCAAACTATAAGCCACTGAAAACCTGTGCTCTGGCCTTTGCTCTTATGTCTCAATGCTACAATTTGGCACTTGCTGTAGCACCGTTTTTTACTCTCTCTTTCTTTTTTTTCTTCCCCCTCTCCCCCCCCCCCCCCTTAATTTTCCCAACGAACCATCATTCTTCATTCATTGTCCTCCGCATCACATTTCTCACATCACGTCACGTCACATCACATCCTATCACACCACATAACGTATCATCACTCCACCACACGCACTCAGCTCCCTGGCGTTACTGTTGGCGGTCCACCTATGCAAGCCAGGCTCGCCACTAACTACCATTCAACCGGATGCTGCCATGGGTACGTGTCAAGATCGCAAGCAGGAATGATTTCATTGAATGAATTGTGGGTACAAGTACTAACCCTAATACGTATTGGGTTGTACCCCATATGGGCTACCCCACTATAGCCTACACACAACTAGCACAGATATGGTTTGACAGTACGTTCTTAAAACCCTAATCTACAATGTTCTGGTAGGTGCTGGTAGGCGTTTGTAGGTGCTGGACGGTCCTGGTACTAGTGCCTGTTACTGCACGCATGATTGGCGTTGTAGGTCGGCAGGGTCTTTTCTAGATTCTGCATATTTAATACAATTGTAACACTCCACATTTTGCATCTCTCAATCTCTCCCAAACCATGTTCCTAGCAGATTTGAAGAACACAGTCCATTCTGGCTGACCACACGGAGCGGCACACCACTCAGCACAGGAGCACATGCGCGACCTAGCTTGAACCCTAACCTTGTTCCCCTTTATAGCCATTATGGTTGAATAAGTATCCCTAACGCAGAGCAGCATGACACAAGTATCATCCTGGCTGAGTAGATGAAGCAGCAGGACAGCAAGTGCGCTAGGGGGTTATACAGTTTACAGGGGAATACATTCTCCAGGCACCTCAAAAACAGCAAGTGCGTTAGGGGTTATATACAGGCGAATACATTTTTGAGGCACGTCAAACACAGCCAAAGAAAAAACTTGAACTTGGGAATGGGATACACATACACATCCATAGCGTATTTGTCAATTAGGTCATCTTTTTCCAGATGATCATGATTCAGAAGCACCAGCTCTCAAATATACATCCGACCTTCAACAAATCTCATTTTTCATGTACCACTGTAAGGAAAATCCCTTTTCCTTACTTCGCATCCCTGCTCAACGCGTACATCACTGTAGCACCTCAGTCAGCACCGTTACCACTCGCGATCATCGCATCGACAATCATCCCGCCATTTTTCGCACATCGCATCCCGACCTCACGGCTCGGCTGGTAACCCGCGCTCCGGGCCTACGCCTCGACACTTTCCCAACCTCAGTCCCAGGCTCGTCGCGCGACTACCACAGACCATTACCGTTACCACTGTAGTTTCGCTATATATTCTTCGCTCATGCCCTCGCTCATTGTATTCTTGCTTCGATAGTGCAATTCTCGTTCGTTCACTCAATTGCACTCGTAACACTTGGTTATCAGAGCCTACGATCTCAGCTCGGACCGCATCCACACCTTCGCTTTTCCACTATCTCAATTTTTTGGGGGGGGTAGACGTCTCTCAGCGATACAGCACCGCCGCTCGTAGTGCTCTCTCGCAAGCACGCACGGCCACGACCGAGGCTCTCGCTGAGCTTGCCCGACACCCCCGCCATGGCCGATTTCACGCTCGCCACATTAACGCAGGAGCAACTTGATCGTCTCGTGCGTCAACTGGAAGATTCAGCGCTCGAAATCGCGACGCTCACGGCGGAACGTGACTCCGCCCGTCAACAGTCCACGGTGAACGTTCCGACGACATCACACACACCAACAAATGTATCGGCACATTCGGATGAACCGATCCTCATCTCGTCCGGCACACCAACACAACACGGCAGCATGGGACAACGCTCAGGCACGACCAGTAATGGCGCCGCCCAGCCGATGCCTGGCATGGGAGGAAACAGGATCGCACCAAGCCCGCGGGAGCCCCGAGAAGCCCGTCCGCACGTGGAATTTGCGGCGACAAGTGGCGAACAAGCCATCATGGCACCAATGCCGCTCGAGCCGCAACGCCCGCCCTGCTTCGACCCAAGCCAACGCGGCGGTCCGACGGTTCAATCGTGGGTCTTCACGATGAACGTCTTCTTCGACGCAAATTACGTCGAGTCGGACGCCGCGAAGATCCGATATGCAGTTTCACTGCTAAGGGGCCCCGCCATGGACTGGTGGCGAGTCATCGTGACGTCGCCACGCGCCTACGAGCCACCGTCGCACGAGGAAGGGCCCACGGGTCCAGCTGTCACCTGGAGTTCGTTTTGTGAGACCGCCCAATACAGCACGTGGGATGCGTGGTGCGCAGGGCTTCGTGCGCGTTTTGAGCCGATCGCGGCTTCAATTTCGGCGCGTCAGAGATTGCGCACTTGGCGCCAGCTCGGGTCAGTTCAAGATTATACAAGCGGTTTTCTCGCACTTTGCGAGCAGGTCGGCTACATGCACAAAGCGGAGCGGGTGGACCGTTATGTCGGAGGGCTGAAGCCGGATATCTCGCACGAAATAATGCTGCGCGGACTCTCTAATTTTAACGAGATTCTCGCGCTCGCCGAGAAGATCGACATTCTACGCCGACCGAGACCGGGGTCCTATTACGGACATCGCCCTCGGGGACCGACCGAGCACGCCACTGTACACGCCGTTGCAACAAATGCAGCTGCCGCACCGTTTAAAGGGCGCTGCTTTGCTTGCAACAGGCCGGGCCATCGCAAGAGCGAATGCCCAGAGAAGCTGAGGCGCCGAGGAGCAGAGCAGGGGAGGGAGTCTCAGAGGCAGGGAAACGCCAGCAGTCAGTAGAAGTTGGGCCAACTACTGACGAGACTGCCTGCTCGCCCAACCACACCGACCCTCACCGAGTCACAGTACCGATTCACGCCATCGATCGGGCTCGGATTAATAAGGAGGGTACAGCGACGGATTGCCCGGTACTGATCTACGGGAAAATACATGGAGCAGCAGTGAAGATTTTTATTGACGGGGGAGCAAGTCACAGCTTAGTTAATACCACAACCGCACGGAAATTACAGTTAACACTTAACTGATGCTTACCTGAGATAGATGCACGCTTAGTCGACGGAACGCCACTAGCCATACGGGAAAAGGTGGACCGAGTAAAAGTCCGCTGCGGAGGAAACTTCGGGTTTACACAGGAAATGCTCGCAACGACACTGGATGGGCACGACATTTTACTGGGACGTGATTGGCTGCGACGGTATAACCCGCGAATTGACTGGACGACGGGTAGCTGCACAGTGCGAAATAGTGGTAACTGGGTCGTCCTACCTCGCTGGCAGCCACCCGAGTCTTCGACGGTCCAGGTCAACGCCATCACGATGAAACGGGCTGTCGCTGCTGGAGCTGACGTGTACGCAGTGGACATAGCATTAGTGCAAGAAGAGGAGCTGCCGAGCGATTTTCAGAAACTATTGGCAGTTGTACCACCCGAACTTCAGGCACTACTGAAACGATTCCCGGGTATCTTTCCGGATGACTTACCACAAGGGCTGCCACCTCAGCGGGCGCATGACCATAGGATCGAGTTAGAACAGGGGGCACAGCCAACTGTACAGCGCCAGTTCAGACTGACACAGCCCGAGCTCGACGAACTAAGGAAGCAGTTAGATTATCTGTTAGAGAAGCAGTTTATCCGACCGAGCTCGTCACCGTTCGCCGCACCGATACTGTTCACACCGAAAAAAGACGGAGGGTTTCGCAT